TCAGGCAGGAGCCCTTTAGTTTTACTCAGATGCTTGTTGCTGTGGGCCTTCCCTGCACCTCATCTGGCTGCAGCCTCTGCAAAACAAAACAAAACAGAACAGAACAAAACAAAACAAAACAAGCAAACAAACAAAAAACCCCAACCAACCAACCAAAAACAACTTCAAAAAAAACGAAACAAACAAAAAAAACACCGGACCTCAGGCGCCACCTGGTGGTGATCTTGGATACTAACAGGATAGAAACAACGGGAGTCAAAGCGGCTCGCATCCCTCTTCCCGGAACTGTTCCTTCCTATGTCTTTCCCTAGGTATGGACTTGCTGTAAAAGTGATAGACCAATCAAAGGCCATTTTTTAAATTTAAAAATTATATTTTTCCAGTTATAGAAGCAATGCATGTTCATTGCAGAAAATTTGGAAAATATAGAAAAGAATAGGGGCACCTGGGTGGCTGAGTTGGTAAAATGTCCGACTCTTGATCTCAGCTCAAGTCTAGATCTCAGGCTCTCGAGCCCAAGCCCTGCGTTTGGGCTCCATATCGGGCATGAAGTGTACTTTAAAAAAAAAAAAAAGAGAAAATATAGAAAAGATTAGAGAAGAAAATCAGTCATCCTAATTCTACCACCCAGAATAACCACTATTAATATATTGGTGTATTTCCTTCCAGTGTTTTTCTCTGCATATAATTTTCACATAGCCCAAGATTAGCATGTATATATGTTTACATATAAACACATAGACATACATATGGGCTCAGTTATATATAAACATATGTTGAGTATGTTTTTAGCTTTTATTTAAAAATTTTTTTTAGTTTTTGTTTTTACAATTTTTTAAAAAAGTTTAACTCCAGTATAATGAACACATAGTCTTATATTAGTTTCAGGTGTACAATACAGTGATTCCACAGTTCTGTACATTGTTCAGGGCTCATCACAGAAAGTGTCCTCTTCATCTCCTTTACCTTCTTCACCACCAGCCCCCCGCAACCTCCCCTCTGGTAACCATCTGTTTGTTCTCTATAGTTAAGAGTCTGTTTTCGTGGTTTGTCTCTCTTTTTCTCCTTCTCTTCCATATGTGGGGTATTTTTGTGCACGAAGTCCTGGTGTGGGAGTGAGTGTGGGTGTTGGCAGCTGGGTGCTAGTGTCACGTCATGCTGAGGTGGAACCCTTTCCTGGCTGTGTGACTTGGGCAAGTGACTTCTCTGGGTAACAGTTTCTCTCTGTATCTGTAAAATGTGTTTCATACGGGACTTACCCCAGGGCTGTTGTGAAGATCACACAACATGGTGTATGTGAAATGCTTCGGACGGTGCCTGAGGCAGAGAGGTTTCCTCCTGGTAATACAGTACCATGGAAAGCTGCATCTGCCTTTACGATTCGTGGCAGAAATCTCGAGAAATGGGATGGATTTCTGGGTCTAAGGATATGAAGAGCCCCAAGGTTGATACAGTTTACCCAAATTCGAGAGGCAAATTGCAACCAAGATCTCGTGCCTCCAGCACCACAGCTGTTCTCATTTGTCTCTATATTCTTCTAGGCCCTGTTTGCGCAGAACACGTCCCAGCGTTGTAATTACAACGCTTGCACTCGTTGGCTTCATGTTACATCATCAACATTTTCCTAAACGTCTGGCGTCGTCATTGACAGCATTTGCTACCTTTTGCTTAACTATTTCCTTGTTGTGGACTATCTGAGTTTTCTTTTGCATTCATTCATTCATTCATTCATTCATCCATTCATTCAGGAAGCAGTTCTGCCAGGCACCGGACTAGGTCCTGGGGTAGAGTGGTCAGCAAGAACGGAATGCTCCTTACTGTGGGCACTTGAACTCTGGCCAGCAAGAGAGGCCACTACAAACAAGCAAACAAGCGAGACTCCCACTGTAAGCTGTGGTGAGTGCTGTGAAGGAAAAGGAGGGAACTACGGGAGGGATCCACTTTGTGACACATTTTTATATTTTTGAGAGGTCGTCCCGGTGCCTCATTCTAACCTGCTGTTTGCTCCTTGGCAGCTGTAACTGAGGCTTCTCTTTGAGGAGTCCCTTTTGGGGTTGGATTTTCCACTAACACAGTTTCATGAGGAGTCAGAGCTCATGGAAGTGTTCGGAGATCTGACAATGAAATCTAATGGGCCTTCTTTCCTGTTCTCCCTCCCTCTAAGGCTAGTGTTTCAACCAGTGTGGTCCCAAAGAGACTTGCAATTAGCCACTTCTCAAATCTACATGCACTGTGCCTTTTCCTCTCCCCCCTTCCCAGTATAGGACTTCCGCTAGCCCTGGGAGCCTTTGAACCAATTGTCAAAGGTGCCCCCTTCCAGAGGACAAAGCCTCAATGACTGAGGCTTGGGGGTGCAGAGCACAAGTTGGATTTCAGCCCTTTTGAGGCTCCTTGGATCGCCTGCATGACTGCACATAGCGGCCCTGCCCACAGCCTCTGGAATGCCCACCCCACCTACTTTCTATCTCTCTGATCGTCACTCCATCATGACAATGTATTTCATCTCTTATAGGAAGTCTTATCTAGCTTTCTAATTCACAGTAAATTTTCCATTCCTTGAACTCCTAAATAATTTTTTTACTCCTTGCCTTATTTGCACTTAATTGTACACTGCCTTCTGATTCTTCCTGTTTTTCTCACTTGCTTCACTACTTCATCTGATGAGGGATGATTTAGATTGAGAATTCAGGGATATCTCTGTAGATGTATCACTTACACTAAATGCTGAAGGAGAGGTAGGCAAGAGTTCTAGAGAAAGTGTTCTAGGCAGAGGGAAGGGCATGTGCAAAGGCCCTGAGACAGAAGATTTTTGAGATGCAAGGCCAAATGAATATGAGTATCTCTGCATGGAATGGCCTTTACAGATTTGGGAAATGAAGTGGAAAACAACTATTAAAGTATGCATTCTCACTACTTTCTGAGGAACTCTTTGTTCTAACCCCTGGAAAGGACATATTGAGATGAATCAGACCAGACTACACATGTTCCTTCCTAGACTAATGGAGGAGGCTAAGATGATTTCTATGTAGTGTGACAGACAGACCATGGTAGAGGGTTATCATGTATGTCAGTAAAAGGATAGAGAGAGTAACTATTTCTGCTTGTGGGCACTGAGGAAAGCTTATCCAAGATGGAGACATCCGAGTGAGATCTGATGTAGGGCAACCCATGGAAGCTGGTGCATGGTCCAGGCTAAAGGCTTGAACTGGAACAATGATAATAAGGATGGACGAGAGAGGAAAGAGGAGAGAGACATTTCAGTGTAAAACCTGTAAGACTTGGAGATGGACTGGTTTTAGGAGGCCAGGGAGAGGAATAAGTTAAGGCGCTGCAACTTTGGCATGGATGACTGAAGAAAGGCGGTACCCCTCAATGAGATCCGGGATGGAGGAGGAGAGACAAGATTTGAGGAGGGTAGTAGGTTGGTGGAGAGACATTGGGGGATGGCGAGGGCTTCTCTTTGGTACCATGGACAGCTCCAAGGATCTCCCGGAGGACTTGACATAGGCTAGATCAAACGGTTGACACAAGATGCTTTAGCATCAGCAGAGGAGCTAATTTAATATACAGACTCCCAGTCCCACCCAAATATTCTGTATCAAAATCTCTGGGGTTGGGATTCAGGAAGCTGCTTTCTAAATAAGCACCCCAGATAACTCAGGTACAGGCAGTCACACGACCATACTTAAACAAACCACGATGGCCACCAGAGAAAGAGATGAGAGCGCCCTCTGCTGCTAAAAGGACGTTTGGACCTCTTGAGTTTACGACTGGTACATTTTAAGGCAGTTTATTTAGGAAGGGAATCCCAAAGCCAAAACAAAGAAACAAGAGACCAGGGGATATGAGTGAGAAAGAAGGGCCACCTGTGTGCAGTTACCGTTACTGTCTTCAGTCTGGGGGTGCTGTTACACCTTCCCAACTGCATTCCCTTAAAAAAAAAAGTGGCTCCCTAAGGCAAGAGGAGAGAACCCTCTCCTTGGATTGGCTTTAAAAATATATTTCATCCCAAAAGAAATGAAAGCAGGGACTTGAAAAGGTATTTGTGTACCCGTGCTCCTAGCAACATTATTCTCCACAGCCAACAGGTGGAAGCGATCCAAATGTCCATTGACGGATGAATGGGTAGAGAAAATGTGGTGGATTCATGAGCAAAACATTATCCAGTCTTAAAAAGGAAGGACATTATGAGATATGCTACAACATGGATGAACCGTGAAGGCATTATGCTGAGTGAAATTAGCCAGACACAGAGGGACAAATATTGTATGATTTCACTTGTGTGTAATGAGGTCCCTGGAGGAGTCAAATTCATGGAAAGAAAGTAGAATGGTGGTTGCCAGGAGCTGGGGGGAGGAAGGATGGGGAGTTATGGCTTAATGAGTACAGAGTTTCATTTGGAGAAGGTGAAAAGGCTCCGGAAAGGGATGTTGGTGATGGTTTTTACACACTCATGTATTCACTTAATGCCATCGAATGGCACGCCAAAAAAAGGTTAAAATGGCAACTTTTATGTTTATTTTACCACAATAAAAAAAGTGACATAATAAGCGGTGTTAATGCCCTCAACTTGACGGGAAATGTGTAGGGCTTCTCCATCCCATGGGGCGCTGAGACCGGGGAAAGATGCCTCCCTTCTCCGTCTGGGGCTCTCCCAGGACCAGCAGGTGCTTCTTTCAGCGGATAGATGCTCCCCCAGGGCCTGGACCGGTCCCGGCCAGCATCAGACTGAGGTGCTTCCAGATAGTGGAGTTCCCTCCACCGGACGAGGTCCTGCCTCCTTCTTCCGAGGTTGTTATTCCAGCGACTGTGTAGCGGGGTGGGGGAAAGCGGGCCTCTTGTTTGAGATCCTCCGCAGCCCCCGGACTCAGGAGCCTCACAAGTGCCCAAAACCCTGGTAACCTCAATCTCATCTCTTGCCTCCAAATTCTGCGCCCTTAGAAAACCAGCGCCGTCTTTTCGAGCCGGCGGTCCAAGGCGGCTTTCCGCCCTCTTCCAAGATGGCCGCCCCCGCCTCTGTGACAGGCCTGATCACGTGGGCGCCGTCGCCTATGAGGTCGTCGCGGCTCCGGCCGCGATTGTCCCTTCCCGGGCCCCGTCCCGAGGAGGTGCCCGCCCTTGTCAACCAAAGCCTGAGCGATCATGGCAACGGGCTCTGGTGGGGAGCGCGTGGCCGCGGCGGCAGTTTGGTCGCGGGCCGGGACGGCCGAGCGGCGGCGGCGGCGGTGGCACTGGCGCTGGTACCGGCCCTGAGCGCCATGCAGCGGGGCAGCTCCGAGAGGGAGTTGGCGGCCGGCTGGGAGGCGGAGGCGGTGGCCGTGGCCGAAGCGCCGGCGGCGGTGGCGGCGGCGGCGGCGGCGGAGCCCGTCGGCGTGGACTCGGGCGCGGCCGGGGAGCCAGAGCGCAAGGCGCCGGAGGAGCAGTCCAAGGAGCGGGCCCGGGCGCAGCCCCGCGCGGCCGAGGAGGGGGACGCCCTGGTGACCCCGCGGCCGCCGCCCACGCTGCCCCTGGCCAAGCCGCAGCCGGCGCGGGTGCTGGGCCTCTGCCAGCACCGGAAGCCCCGGAGCAAGGGCCGGGGCTGCCGGCGGAGCTCGGGCCGCTCGGCGGACGAGTACTGCTCCCAGCGGCCGGTCACCGTGGACAGCTCCAAGGCCAGGACCTCCCTGGACGCCCTGAAGATCAGCATCCGCCAGCTCAAGTGGAAGGAGGTGAGGCCCGGCCCCGCCGCGTGGGCACGGCGGGAGGGTGGACAGTTCGTCCTCAGAGGACCTCTCACGGCCGAGGGCTGAGGGCTGAGGGCTGAGGGCTGAGCTCCTGCTGAGCACCAAGCTCCAAGTGCTCATCCTTCAAGGCCTAGACGCCAAAGTCACTTCCTCCCGAAGACTTTAAGCCCGCTCCAGGTCAAGTTAGTCACTTCTTCCCTGGCTCCCCTACACTACAGCTCTGGCTTCTAGCCATCAGCGCTCACCCGCCCCAGACGCCAGCACTCCCCTACATTGTAGATCTTAGCTTCTGTGTCTGTCTGCTCCACCAGCTTTGGGTCCTCGGGGCCAGGGACGCTCTGTTTCACTTCATTCAAGGTCTCATGGTACAGCACTTCCTGTGCGGCGGTTGAGGAGTTGGTACTTTGGAGGCAGACAGACTTAGGGTCTCAGCACACCCTGCCACTTAGGTATGTGACTTTGAGGAGCAAGTTGCTTCACCTCTTAAGCCTGTTTCCTTTCTGTGAAGTGAAGCTAATAATCTGTCTCCTGTCAGCGTTAGAAGACTCTGCTTATTGTAGCGTGGCACAAGTGTGCAATAAATGGTAACTCATCCTACCACCTTCTCCTCTCCCTCTTCCTCCATTGCTGACACCGCCACCAGCATCATCATCAGGGCAGGACCTGTATTTTACATTCTAGGGCTTGGTATATACTGTGTGTCAGTAAGTGGTGGATGCAGGGGTGATGAAGGAATGGGATATTCATCCCTGAACCCATTTTAGACTTGGTGGGGGCTGGGATGCAACACCAGTGACACAGAGGGGTGCCTGTTGCAGTTGGCTGACTGGGTACAGCCATATGACTTAATTTTCAGCTTCTAAGGCTATTTAACAGGGTTCCAGGAGTGGTGGATTGTAATTTAGGTGAGTCAAGTCTGGAGACTTAGACTCAGATGGTCTGCTGATGGAATGGGAATCTTCAGCAGGCAACATGAAGATTTGGGTACTTAGCTCTGTGCTTGGCTTATGGCAGACATTCAGGAATGGTTTTATGAAGTTGGAACACACAGAGAGATGGCCACAGAAAGGATTGATGAGGTCAGAAGGTTGGCGTCCCAACAGGAAGGAGTTATGTAGTTTGGAGGGAAGTCAAGATTTAGGTGGGTAAGGGTTAGCCATTGGGGGCATCTGACTACCCATTCCCCGCTCTACTAGTGTCAGGGTCCCCAGGCTTGGGGCTGGGGTTTCAGAGGACTTTCATGCCTAGGAAACCTGCAAGGAGGGCTCCCTGTTCTGGGCAGGATCCCAGGTCTGGGCCAGAGATAAGAGGGCCAGAACAACATGGAATTGGAGAACTTGCCAATGCCGTAGTCCTAATGAAAAAAGAATCCAGGGACTGAAACCAGGCCACAAGAACCAGGCGAGGCTGACCGGCCCAAGGAGGGCCTGTGCTTAGCTTAGCCCTGTGGGAGAGAGAGACATGAAGCTGACTAGATCTTGAGAGATGCAGCCAGAAGGACTCAGAAACCAGCAGGCATACATGCCAGGTTCATGCACTCAGTCTGTGAGTGTTTGCCGTGGATGCTGGACCCTGGGAATCAAGGACCCTTAAGATGTAACCTCTGCCTCCGGGACATTATAGTTCAGTAGGGATAAAACACAAGTAGAAAAACCCATTGCAGTGATTATAGCATCTTTGCTCCTGCTTCCTGAAATGCTCTTTTCCCAATTATTTGCATGGCTCACTCTGTCACTTTCTATGTCAGGGCAAATGCCACCTCCTCAGAGAAGCCTTCCCCTGTGATCCCTTCTCCAACCCTTACTCTTCTTTATTACTTTTTTTTTTACGCACTAAATTCTACTCGACACTATATTATGTGTTGTTGTTTATTACCTGTTTCCATCATTAGAATGTAAGCTCCATGCGGGCAGGGGCTTTGTTTTATTTACTGCTGTATCCTCAGGTGCTTGGTGCATAGTAGGTGTTCAATAAATACTTGTTGAATGGATGAACACGTGATGTGATGCGTGTCTCCCTGTCCCTCCGTAGAGCTGTAGGTGCTGGGGGAGAAGAGGAAGGCCATACCAAGAAGAGCTTCCTGCAGGAGAGACATGTAAGCTGAGTTCTGAGTGCCAAAAAGGAGCGGGAATTAGGGATGGCCTGTGGACTTTGGATCTCTGGTAAAGGGCATAGTATAGGCCTAGCTGAGGCACATTTGGGACTTTGCATGTAGTTCAGTATGGTGGGATGCGCGTGTTTAACGGTCTTCCATTTATCGACTCTGCTTGTTTGGCAAGTGAGTTCAGCTCTTTAGGCCTCTTCTTCTGCCTGTCTATCAAATGGGGATAAGTTGGGCGAGATAAGTGGTTCCTGGGCTCTCCTGTGACAGCCACATAATGGTCGTGTTCATCTACACAAGGCCCTTGCACGGGTGAACCCCGTGTAGGGGGCAGTTTCCAGGCACCACCCGTAACTGCCCCCTCCACCCCAACCCTGCCTTTCTCTTCTCCCTCAGAGAGAGACTGGCATGCAGGAGTTGCTCCTTCTGGTAGATTTTAAAACAAATTCACTCACCCCATAGGACTTTACTATTCGACGTGTGATTATTCACTTAATGTCACTCTTTCCTATGAGTCTGTGAGGTCCTGGTCCTCCTGGGAGGGCGGGAGTGGTGTTTGACTTGGCACACATTGTAGGTGTTCGATAAATATTCACCAAAGGATGCTACTTGTTGCAGAGCTTGTATTCCATCCTGATACCCTAGAATGTGGAGTTTCAAAAGTACTGGAGTGGGTAAACTTTAAGTTCCTTCCAGCTTTAAGCTATGACAATGGTATTTTTAGTACCTACTGTAAAATTGACTGTATGACTAGTAATGTATATAAAGCAGGTACTAACAAAGTACAGACACTACCTCTCTAGGCCTCAGTTTCCCCATCTGTTACAGGGGTGATGGTGGACAAGATCACCTGTAACGTTCAGCACTGATGTTCTAGGAGCAGACATATCTCCACCGGGAGCTGGGACGTGAGGGATTGAATGGCGTCCCTTGAATGCTATGCTGTAGCTGTGGGATTTGGGACACCCACCCAGCTGGCTGGCTTTGGCAGGGGTGAGCGGGCAATCCAGGTAGGAAATAAGGTCATGAACACCAACCAGGGTAAAAATATTTCCTTCGTGAGTGTACATTGAGGGGCCACACCACATGGTCCACTTAGCAGGGCATCACGTAGCCCGTGTGTGAATTCAACATTTGCCTGGTTACAGGACACGGTCTCCCTTCCTCCTTCACTTTTTTTTATTACACATACATTTAACAACAATGATTGTGAATGTCAGCGACTATGATGACCCCTTACATAACTCTTAGACTGTACCAGGTACTCTTCTAAGTGCTTAACGTATCTACAGTGATCTGATTTTCCCAACAACCCAATAAAGTGCCTCATTGTCTCTATTTTTCGGAAGAGGAAGTTCAAGTACACAGAGGGTAACTTATCCAAGGTCATGTGGCTGATCAGTGGCGGAGCTAGCATTCGAAACAGACACTCCTTTGGAAACTAGCCTTCAGTTCTGGACACTTCTACACTGTTTCCTACTGGATCTCTGTCTGCAGACCCTGGGTTGGAGTTACAGATCTAGATGTGAATGGGAATCACTCCTTGCCCTCCAGCAGCAGGGACAGACATGTACACAATGGCAGTCCAGTCTGGGTGTTGAATAGGTAAAGGCCATTCCACACAGAGTAGGAAAAAAGGCAAGGAGCACGGATCAGCTTTTGTATGCCAAATGGGAAGATGGCAGCATAGAGAGCATGTGGGAGAGCGGGAGGGATGAAGAAGGAGCCAGATCACGGAGGACGTTGGAGGCCACACCAAGAGGCTTGTGCTTCTGCCTGAATATGGTTACAGGATCTTTGCCATATATAGACTCAGCTTCTCTTGCCCACTCTCTCAGCCCCACGCCAACTCTCTGATGATTCTGTTTTCAGTTCTAGCCAGTCTGGTCAGGTCTGATCCAACTGTGTCTGCAATGTTGAATTCGCCTCTCAAAGGAGAAGTCACAAATGTTAGCTCTGTGAACTTAATAGATAAGACGAGAGTTTATTTGAGAATAGCTAAATCAGGTTTATGGAGTCACACTATTGAAGCTGCCACATGAAAGAGACAGATGGTTCCTAGCTCATGGTAGACGCTCAGTAAATATTTGGGGACTTGTGTGGTCCTCTTCCAATTGTGTGAGTCTCTCTCCCCATCCCCTGTGTATCCTTCTGCGGTTTTGACACCATCAGTAAAGAAACCTTAGGGGAAAGACACCAAGGAGAGCAGATGCCACTATTGTTACGAGCTGCGCTCCCTGGAGATGTAGGTTGTATATATGTGCACAGTGGTGCCATGGACACCGGCTCGCTGATGGGAACGAGGGCGCTGAGAGATTCCACAGAAGGATCTTTGTTGACAATAGCTTGCGTAAGCGCCTGTCCCAAGATCTATTACAGTGGGAGCTCTTTTTTTCAGAGACCCGAAATCATGAGTTGTTTTCTGAACCTTATCCAACCTTCCTTCGAATATGTACACACTTATTATATTGTCCTATTTATAACTTAGAGAATATTACTGTTTATTAAACATCTGTTACTGTTTACGAAATATCTGTTATGTGCCAGGCATTGTGCTGAGTGTCTTATGCTCATTAAAAATTATATCAGACATTTACTATGGATTGTTTTATGTGATCCTCACAGCAAACCCCTGAAGTAGATCCTATTATCACTTCCTAATTACAGATGAGGAAACCGAGGCTTAAGAAGAGGTTGGTGCAGGGCTAGCCCAAGGCCACAGGTAACAAGTGACAAAACCATCTAGGGCCTGTGCCTGGAACTGGTGTATAATCCTACATTGTCTTCTTTGCTAATCCTTGGCTAAAATCCACCCTGCCAGGGGTTACTCTATTATTATTAGTCCCAGATAATGCTTGAAGACACTGAGGTGGGCACAGCAACT